CCCGGAAAAGGAAGTTTTTTTTTTTTTTTTTTTTTTTTTACTAAGTTTTTTAACAAAATTGTGCATGCCCACCTGGGATTGAACCCAGGTCCTTGTGCATAGCAGTTAGTGTCCTTAACCACTATGCCACGGCACTTTCTTGAAAAACTGTGCTCGTTTCTAAATCTTAAACCTTCCATTGTTTGGACTTAGAATATTTTTTTGCCAAACTGTACACTGGATATGGGCAAGGGTGGAAGTCCTAGGGGCTGTAAGTCTGAGAGCTGATAGGAAGGGTAGAGTGGATGGCTGAGGGCTTGGGACTATCAGTATTTGAACTCTAAGGATCCCATGGGGTTGAAGGACATAGCTTCTTAATGTTTCATGTTGCTGTTGGGTTTATTGTAGCCCATATAAGATTGAGACTAAAAGGCTCGAAGAGGGAACTTTATATAAGGAGCTTGGAAGATGTTTAAGACTGCCAGGGCTTCCATGCAGGATGAGGCTGTAATGTAAAATCTAAAGATGAAAAACAGATGCACCTTAAACTCTGGCAGTATAAAATGGTCCAGATTAGGAGAAGGGTCACGAGGCAAAGTACTACAGTTTTACAAATAGATATACATGTACAAACAAGTTGGGCTAGTTTTAAATAAATGAGCATTTATTACACTTGCAAATAGAAATTCACTGGTCATAGCAATAAATGGTGATTGTTTTATATACACACAAGGCATTTTTGCAAGGTAATATTTTCAAATGAAACAAATTTCATGTCAGTGCTAAAAGGTCCTTAGGAATGCACTAAAAGGTGTTTAGTGAAAAATTGTTTCAGACAATTCGGGAAACAGAATTGGTTAAAATTTAAACATGTTGGCTGCAAACAAAAATTAAAAATCAAGAACTGTTTAAATCATATAGTTTTTGTGCAGAGTAAGGGCCTTGGAGTGTTTTCAAAAATTACATTTTTGCAGTAATGACCTTTGAACACTGAGCCAATAATGTGCAACTTGCAGTTTTGTGATAATTTTAAGTGAAAGACTTTTTTCTAATGCTCTGGCAATGTGGATGTACAACTTGGAAAATACAAATGCACACAGAATTTTGTCCCAGGAAAAACCAAGGAATGAACAAAGAAATTGACTGGAGTGGGATTTCAACCTGCAACCTCGGGAACACCGTACCAGTGCTCTACCAACTGAGCTATCCAGCCCTATGTCGGTGGTTCTTCCCATTTGTCAATATCTCTGTTCGGGGGGGCAAACTTGTTAAAAGTGAGGTTCAGAACAGCCACTGGGTTGACTGAACAGTGCTGGTATTATGGCTGCCGGAATGGGAAGACCATTCAATTTTTAAAAGGCATGCAAGAGTTACAAGCTTTTAGTCCTCAAAAGAAGTAATATCAAAATGTCTAGAGTCTTTCCAAATGGTCATTATTTGCAAATTTTGAAGTACATGTATAGCATCTTTTATAACTTATATGTAAACATGAATATTTTAAAATGTGCATTAATATGAGTCAATGCATTACAATGCAAAGAAAAAAATTAAAGGCGAACAAAAGTCTTTCTTCAAAAGCAAACTGACCAATTGTCTATTCAATTTACAAAGTACCTCTTAAGTTATAAATAATTTGGATGTAAGTACAGTACAACGTCACTATACTGAACAATGTGGTATACGGAACATGCCTCTTGGCTCCCAAATTCTCTGTGCACTTTTACTGGACATCACAAATTTGTTTCAAATGAAAGAAAAAAATTTAGGACTGATGACAGTGACTCAAAATTTAAGATGTCAATAAACTCCGAAATTGGAACGGCCATGTTATGAGCCCATAGCAAAACAAGCAGCCGCACAAGAGAATCTGTTTTACACCAACAAGAACACACACATGTATGTGTAACAACTGAAATTTCAACATACGAAATGGCACCCGCTTTTTCTGCAAATAGCGCCCTCTTTTGCCAGGACTTTTCCCCCTTTTTTTATGAAAATCAGAACATTTTGAATTTT